CACACACACACACACACACACACACACACACACACACACACATCACCATACCCCATGGCAGAATTTGAGGTTTAGTTAGGGGAGCCTCCGGTTACCTGGACAGGATTTGTAAAGTCTGCTATGGGGAACAGCTGTGTCTTTGCTAGAAGGTGCTTCCCCAAAGGCCAACAAGCATTCATTTAAGAGTTATTGCAGTCCTTTGGGTGGCAAGATGTGAATGTAGAGATGACACATAATCTTTGGAGCTATACATGAAGTACAGTGATACAGCACTCACCTAGTATGTATGAGGCCCTCAGTTCTGTCCTCAGCACTGCAGAATTTTCTACAAGCACCAGAAGTATCAGGTCTCCCATAAGTAATCAGCTCCATGACTAGACCCATTTTTTTGGGACCTTGTCCCAAAAGACATGCACAAACTCTTGACAACATTTGCCATCCCGCCAGTGGAAGACTGAGGGTGCCCAAAGGTGGTGAGTGAACTGTCATCATTCTAGTCAGATGTGTAGATTTCCTATGTTTTTCATGCTGCTGCTGCTGGAAGCTGGAGAATCATATGACCCTGATCTGTGTTCACGTATTTATCACTTCTGGGAAACAACCAGTGGTGTTCCTTTTGTGGTTGATTTCATCGTGGTTTTTCCACTTTAGCCTTTTCTGTGAAAAGAGAAACTCCAGTGCCCAGGAGAGACTTCACGACCCATCTAGTGCCTGGAGACCCTGTTGTCCACAGTGGATCTCAGGTGGATGCAGTCAGGGGAGCTGGGGAAGAGACTAGTTATGGAGATCTCTTTGTAATTCAACCTCTTCTACTTGAATAAAGTGGATCTCTGTGTTAGAGGCTCATTTGGAAAAACAGTCCTTCAAAACTTAGATAGAAACTCCTTTAGGAGAGTAGCTTTTAAAAGAGGGAGAAAAATTAAAAGACATTAAGGCTAATTAGCACTTACACATTGTTTTGAATTATTGTGGACATTCTTTAGCTTAAACCAGGACCTTTAGATTTTGGAGATGTTAACATTTTTGTCAATTTACATAATGAGAACAGGTTCCCCCCCCCCTTTGTTTTTTTGTTTCCTGTGTGCTGCCCTGGTTGTCTTGGAACTAACTCTGTAGACCAGGCTGGCTTCAAACTCAGAGATCTGCCTGCCTCTGACTCTCAAGTGCTGGGATTAAAGATGTATGTTACCACTGCCTAGCAGGTTTTTTTTCTTTAAAGAAGTTTTTAAAATGTTAAATTATTACCTTGAGTAAAGTGCCAAAATATTAATGTATGCAGAGCTTCCAGAAAATATGTAATAAACACTTTCTGTCATCCTTTGTCACTCTTTCCTAGAAATCAAAGCCCAAATTCTACGTGCTCTCCATGTTCCCATACCCTTCTGGCAAGCTGCACATGGGCCATGTACGAGTCTACACCCTCAGTGACACCATTGCACGGTTCCAGAAAATGAGAGGCATGCAGGTAAGGACAAGTGCCTGCCTTGCTCCAGATGGGAGTGTGGTAATATGTGTTTAGGAAAATGAAGAAAGCCAACTCTGAAGTGTGAACATGAACAGCTCAGTTTCCTTATGTGTAGAGAAGCTTGCAATGAAGCATCTGGGTGAACTGGGACAGCTACAAGGTGGATGTTATTTTGGGGGTGGACCTTGGGTAGGCTTGGGGAAGGCAGGAACAGATGTTGCTAATACTGCTCTTTTCTCAGGAGGAGCTCCACCATAAGCAGTCATTGTACAGGGCAGTGAAGCCAGTGATACAAAGATGGATAAGTGCTGCATTCTGGTCAACTTTTCACCTCTATAGCAAATACCTGAGATGCTTATCAAGAAAAAAAAGAAGGCTTATTATGGCTCCTGGTCTTACATGCATGATTAGAGGGACCCAGTGCATTTTGGTTTCTGCTGAGGATACTGGATAGCCATAGTGAAGAGCACGTCAGAGCACTGCTGCTAATCCCATGGCTAGGAAGCAATAATGAAGGGTTGGGGTTCCCAGGATTTTCTTCAAGGGCATAATCCTCAGTGATCCAAAGACCTCTGTTAGACACACCTCTTTTGGTGAGTGCTACAGAGGAGCAAACCCAGAGCTTCACACATACCAGGCAAATGTTCTACCACTGAGCCATATCCTTAGCTCCTCTTCCTAATTTTCTTTATTTTATTCATTAAGTTGCTCAGATAGGCCTTGAACTTAGGATCCTTCTGCCTCAGCTTCTGGAGTAGCTGGGGGCTTTTGCCACCAGGCCCATCTAGTCCCTACCTCTTGATGATCCCACCATTGTTCAGTAGCACCACCCTGGGGACAAGACCTCTCGGTACATTTGTGATCCAAGCTATAAAGCTTTGTGTGGTAACATACTCCTGTAATCCCTGCACTTGAAAGGTTGAGGAGGAGAACCAGGAGTTCGAGACCAGCCTAGGCTACATTGTAATTCTGGACATCACAAGAGTTTTGTTTTTGTTTTTACCCCTTGTTATTGGATGTTTTTTATATTCTTTGATGAAAACTTTTATTTTATAGTAGGAAAAATAAAATTTTATAAGAAACAATACTGGGGGATTAATAACTGTGAGGAATGGGGAAGAATTCCCTAAAGAGGGAACATCTTATTACATTTATGTATTGGTAGGGGGCACATGCCTGCCTAAGCCCGTTTTCTTACACCACTTGGGTACTGGGGATCAAATTCAGCGTTGGTGGCAAGAATCTTTATTTTGCTGAGCCAAGCCACTGGCCCTAATAGGAACCACCTGCTAATGACCTTGAAAGACAAATAGGACTTAAAAGAAAAAAGAAGATATGCCCTTTCCTTGGCTGATGTGAGTTTGTCCCAGTATAGTTAGTTTTTCTTCTTCCTTTTTAAGATTTATTATTTTTTTTTGCAATTACATCTATGTGTATGTTGGTATAGGCATGTGAATGCAGGTGATTAAGGAGGTCGGATGCATCAGATCCTCCTGGATCTGGAGTTACAAATGTGGATGCTGAGAACTGAACTCAGGCCCTCTGCAAGATCAGTAAGTGCTCTCAACCACTGAACCCTCGATGGTTAGCTTTAGTTAACTTGACACAATCTAGAATCACTTGGGAGAAGAGTCTCAATGAGTGGCTCTCAGGTTAGGTTGTCCTGCGGGCACATCTCTGGGGGATTATCTTAATTATATTAGTTGAGGTGGAAGACCTGCCCACTGCTATTGGCATCACTCTCTAGGCAGGGGATCCTGGACTGTACAAGAGTAGGAAAAGAGAGATGAGCACAAAATATATTTTGTTTGATACAGGGTCTCACATAACCCAGACTGACTTCATACTTGCTAGGTAATCAATGATGATCTTGACTTTCTGATCCTCTGTCTTTACTTTCTGAATTCTAGGGTTAGAGGGATATGCCGCTATGCCTGGCACCAAACTGGGGCGTTTCAAGTGAGAGCCAATTGTTACATTTGCTAGTCCACCATTGGCCATTGCTTTTCTGAACCTATAAGGCCCTATGCAGGTGGCATCTGGTACTTCCTACGCCTTTAGGGAAGGTTAAGTCTATCTCTTGAGACAATTGGTTGGAAATTTTTTGTTGGCAGAAAGCAGCCCATAAAAATGAGGTCATGTTTTCATGTTTCTGTCACTTGAGGATTAATAGGTTTATATTGCTAAACTCAGAGGTTCCATTGGAATTTAAAGTTGCCACAGTTATTTGTCATCCTGGTTTAGGAAAGATATTTTTCTTAGACACTATTTTACAGTATTCCTTTAAAAGAGGCAGGACAGAGGGTAGAAAGATGCTCAGCAGTTCAGAATACTGACTGTTCTTGTAGGAAATCTGAATTCAGTTCTCAGAACTTGTATGGCTCACTGTAACTCCAGTTCTAGGGTATCTGTACTTCTGGCCTCCACTAGTTCCTGCACCGGGTGTACATATATTCACACATATACATATAAATAAAAATAAAGTTTAAAGAAAAGAAATAAAAAGCAAGATAGGATTAATTGGCTCTTTGTCTAAAGTACAATCTTTTTCTTTTTCTTTTCATTCCTAAGGATATAACCTTGCACGTGCTAAGAATGTGGGCTGTCACTGTGCTATACCTCTGGACATCCTTAAAGTATAATTCTGTAACTAACCTTCAACTGTATTTATCTTTTAAAAAATTAAGCCACATTAATTTGATCAGTGCATGCTGGCTGCAGGCATGTTCCTAAGCTGGAACATTTAAGCAAACACATGTTATTGGTGAGAGAATGTCAGGAAGCCTGCTAGTAAATAGGTAAGTGAAGGGATGTATGTGAGAGTCTAGTTGTCTTGGGTAGGATGAAATATTAGCAAAGATGCACATGAGGAATCAGGACTTTGCAGGTAGCTCATGGCCAAAGCAAGGGGGTGGGGGTGGGGCACTGTCTACTACCATAGCTGAAGTCCAAAGTCAGAGTGCACAACATTGGTCTGACCCTGTTCTGCTGCTTCCTAACTGGGGCACCTTGCATAGTCACTTAGCGCCTCTGACTCCCACTTCCCTAATTTGATCTAAAGGAAGAGATTTGGATCTAGCAGCAGTGGAGTAGTTCATAGGTGAGCACCTAGACCCTGGATTTGGTATCCAAGGAAAAGAGAAGAAGGGATGCAGAGAGGGAGGGAGGGAAGGAGGGGGAGAGAAGAGAGAGGGAGAAAGATACTGAGACTGATTTCTCCTCAGGTTTCTATGAGGTCAGATTAGGTAGTGTGGTATGCCACGTGTCTGGTGCATAATACATCCCTTAATAAGTGATAGCTGTAATTATGATTTATACTGATTGATTTGCTCTGAGCTACTCAGAAAAGTGACTCAGCTCCATTTAATCAAGGCGTCCCTACAGTCTTCTGCTGGGAGCAGGCTACAGGGCTGCTCTGGTGAAGCTGCTACTGTTCATTGTTGCCAGTGATTCCTTCTGTTTGTCCACTGGCTGAGTCTGCGCCTTGGATTTGAACCTATTACTTGTTATTAGAATAAATATCAGAGTATTAGTCGGGGTTCTTTAGAGGATCAGAAACAGAACTGATATAATATATATATATATATATATATATATATATATATATA